CATAGAAAGTTTCTCATAAACCTGTATGAGAACAATTATTGAATAAATTATTGGCTAAGACTGACCAAAGTCAGACTTCATTTAAGCAAATTCTGTCTACATTTGTCATCCTAATTTTTACGCTGCAGTAACAAAGTCCTTCCGATGCTTTACACTGGTTTTTAAGGATAAACAAGGGAGACGTTTTGGGATCTGTGGCTGGGCTGACACGCTGCGCCGCGTTGAGAGCTGTGTCGTTCACTGTCCAGGGCTTATGTCTGTAACTCAGGGTCTCCGGCTGAAACTAGAAAGAGCCTCTGTTGTTTTTCTAGGTCCATTCTTCCAAATTATATTCCAGAAAACTGTCTTTTTCCCTAGGTCATGGTTGTCCTGAAGTTTATCTTTCATTTTAAAGAACCGAAAGTCTGGGAGGGAGTGGTGGTTAATCACTGGAAAAGCTCAATTGGAGTAAAACTCACAAATCTTGTTCTTGCGACACCCCAGTGGGTAGGCGACAATGGTGTGTCCTTGAGTTATGCAATAACGCCACATCACAATATTGTAATTATAGCATGCCCTTCAAAACGTTCTACCTGATGAGGCTCTTTGCCAGACAGCTGGACACCACCAAAAGGAATATTACAGCATTACTTCAGTTCACAGGTTAATACGCATGACAAGCATAGTTACCCAGCCCGTCACAGCAATGTCCTATAAAGTTAAGCTATAATTACCTCTATTGTGTCCTATCAAAGCTCAAAAAATATCTTTGTCCTGTCTACTTTTCAGAGTTCAAACTCCTTAGAAACTTTTTGAATATGCCAGCCTCTCACGATTATCCTAACAACTGGCAACAACATTAATTGTCCACACTTAAGAACCTATCGAGAGACAGGGCACTGGCAATTTAGTGCTTCAAAAGCAAGCACACAAAGCCCTGTGGCTGACCGAAACCACAAGCTGTTCAAAGCCTGTGTGGGCAGTTATGCCAGCGCCCGCCTGGTGTTGTGAGCCGGAGCCTTGCACCAGGAGAAATGCAGCAGCCAGCGACAGCTCCAGCTCATGGCACTTGCCACAGGCAAAAAAGTAAATCAGCTGAATACAAGCAGGTGTTTAAAATGCTTGAAAAGCAACAAAAGGGACACCTTTAAATAAAGCAGGAAGCCCTCTGTGAAAGCTCACCCAGGGCCCTGTGCGTGCCTTAAAGCCACTGCACGGCGTCCTTCGCCCCTCAGTGTGGACGCTGTATACACTGGCTGCTTAGTGTACACTGATTCTGAGAGGGAGATCGCGGTGCGAGCTGGCGGACTCCCCCTGGCGCAGAGGGAGTGCAGTGGAGGGAAAGGCCCAGTTAACCAGCTGCCCTCAGAAGCAGGCAAAGAGCAGACCCTGCTCCCCATACTTCAATGCCCCTGGCGGGAAGGCGCGTGAGACGCAGGGCTCCCAGCCCTTCCCAGATCAAGTGGGAAGTGAAAGCAGGGTAACACACCGTGTCACATAAACCTCCTTTAGGGTTAAGTTCACGTCTGAACTTTAAAACACGCTAACACTGCAGTTCTCCACTGAAAGCCAAACCGAAGGGGTCCTGCCTTATTAACACCTCGCTGCACGCACAGCTCTCCAGACAGTACTAAGACAGAAACGGGCCTTCCCGGGAAGGACGCGTGCGACACCTCTCTCACCACCTTTAGGAAAAACTTCACCTCTGGATGCAAATCCAAACTTATTACAAACACTGAGAGTTCTGGATCAGATTGTTTTGGCAACAATATCCTTTTTTGGAATATTTAACACGAGCAGCTGCCAGTGAGCACCAAGCCCAGCAAGTATAAACTGACCAGGCAGAGACTGTCACAAACCTGTCCCCACAGACAGCAAGAATGACGAGGTGCCAGGCGGTCAGTTGTAGTTCCTTCATCCTTGTAAAGCTCACTAGGGCAGGAGCAGAACTCGCAGACTGACATCTTCACTCTATAGGCTGTCCTATCGAGAGTTTACAAAAGCCTCAATTTTATCCCACTTATTCCTTTGGCATTACTGCGTTTTTATAGCTGAGTGAGCTACATCTGCCCATCTCCGTCAGCATCTGAAGCAGCTGTGCTCCCTTGTTTTAATTAGTGATGAATTGTGCAACCCTGACAGGTCAGTTTACCCAAAGTTACTGAAACTACTGTGACTCCATCACAGGTTTCCCTGCCAAAAATCAAACCCCGGAACACTCTCAGCCCCTATAATGCCGGCACCAAGGAAGGTACCCCTGAAAGCCTGTTTACTGTCCTCGTAAGCTAACTGACCAAAAAACAAATAGTTCAGACCAAAACTTTAGGTACAACATCACTTGATTAAAAAAAGTACATATTAACATAAAAGTAGTTATTTTCCAAATCATTCTTTTTTTTTAATATTTTGCTTTCTTTTTTTTTTAATTTTATTTATTTATTTATTTTTTCCCCCAAAGCCCCAGTAGATAGTTGTATGTCACAGCTGCACATCCTTCTAGTTGCTGTATGTGGGACACGGCCTCAGCATGGCCGGAGAAGCAGTGCATCGGTGCGCGCCCAGGATCCGAACCCGGGCCGCCAGCAGTGGAGCGCGCGCACCTAACCGCTAAGCCACGGGGCCGGCCCTCCAAATCATTCTTTTGGGTAATACTGTGATAACTTACATATAATTTGCCTCCTATAAACCTTTGAGAAAACTTAGTCAACATGGGTTTATTTATATTTTTGTCTAAAAGTATCAGCAATATTAAATAATACTGCTTCTAAAACTAACATCATCATTCTCCCAAATCCCAAGGGAAGTTTCTGTTCATCTGAGCTCGCATTTCAGACGCTTGAGGTAATGTGCCTGCGTCTGCTCCTGGCTTCGCTAGGGCTCTGGGCTCACACCTGATAAACGTTTTGCAACTGTCATCATTTTGATCATGGTGCTTCCAGCTCCTGATGAAATCATCAGTTTTCAGACCTCTGCCATAACATATCCTATACAATCATGGGAACCTGACTTGCAGAGGTTCTCACGCCTTCAGAACCAGGGAGCACAATGAGACGTGCCAGCACAGGCCCCGCTGACTTATCTAGCTGGCCCAGCGTTGGCTGGAATCACTTCCTGACGGGAGGCAAGGAAATCGTGCTCTTATAGCCCAGAGCACATCTGCCCCTCAAGGTATGGACTGAATTCATAAAGAATTATTTCACATTTTCTCCTTTAATAAGAGGGGAAATTAGAAAGACGCAAAGCTATGATTACATGTTTCATTTGCTGGGCTCTGACACTGCCTTGTAGCTCCTGCGGCCGCACACGGTGGGAGAGGAGGAGAGGGCTGGGCCCGCTGGAAGGCACAGAGCCCAGGCACCAGGTCCATGGGCCTGGCTCTGAATACCCAACACCCTGCCAATGAGCACCCCAAAGTGGGGCCAGTGACCCCCTCTCCCCACTTATGGGGCAGCCAAAAATCTCATTTCTCATCCAAAATACGTGCCTCGAGACCCCTGCTCACAGCAAAAGGCCACAGGCATCAGCAGAGCCCTCCTTTCCACCCAAAACACCTACTAGTGAATAAACATGTCTCTGAAAGAACGAGATGATAAAATAGATGATTAACAGGGGCAGTTTGGAGGGGGGAGGAGGGTTGTGTTCTTAAGAAATATGAATAAATGAGTAGAGAGACCAGTTTGCTGAGAATAAAATCAGACAGCTTTCTTAGAGTTTAAGATATCCAAGTGCAAGTCACAACTCCACTCCCCCAGCTTTCACGCCGCCTCCTGCAAACTCCCCGCTCCCTCATCCCCACGTGGGGCGCAGCGACAGAGGTGTCTTTCACTGCACACCGCGTCACTACGTTGCTCTGTGAAAACGAGTCTCTTAGAGTTCCCATACGTATTTCTCTATTTTTAAAAGGCTGCTTTCCAGATGAATGTTTTAGCCACCCAGTGTCCAGAAGGTGATGCTTTATAGATGAAATCTCACAGGACTCACGACTGACCATCTCTGCTCATTCTAGAAAGCAGAACTGCAACTGGAAACAGTTTTGTTCAATCATTTCCTTTTAACTTCATTTTTAAGCCATCTGAAAATATTTAGAAGCTAAAGACCTTTTGCTTTTTACCTTTTTTATGCAAATTACAGTGCGGGCCTTATTCCTCACCCCTCCCCTCCAGACTTCTCCACCCACAGGCTTTCTCTAGACAGTCACTCCAAGGGCTGGTCCAGGACAGACAGCTGCGCCTAAGCCACGCGAGATCCCAGATCTTAGGTCTGTGTTCTCAGCTTCGGTCATGACGCAGAGGGAGAGCCCCAGGGTGTGCAGAGCAGCCTTGGAAGGAAACCCGGGCTGAGACCTCCTGTAAGCCTGGGAGGCCAGGAGTGGGGACCCTCAGGGTTCTGAGTGAACATAAGTGTGAATGCGTGGCGCACACGCACAAACATGGGCCTCCTGTCATAGACCGGCACGCTGTGACAGGACCCAGTCCAGAAACTCTGTGGACACGGATGGGGGCGCGGGTCCTGGCGGTCACTCAAGCTCCTTGAGCCACAACCTTCCTGGCATCTGCGGCCTCAGATCACAGGACAAAGGTTCCCAAAACTCAGAGAATTACAGGAATTCTCAGAATTGACACTAAACACTCCACACTCCTCTTGGCCCCAAGGTAATTCTTTCAGGTCAGACTTGAGAAAACAGAAACCACCCAGGGAGTTGGCAGCTGGGTTACGAGCCAGGGGCAGTTGATGCTCACCTCATACCTGCACCAATGAGAGTGGTTACCGCTTCTGCAGCCTCAGTTCCTCAGGGGTCTGTGTGAGGACAGGCTAGTCCTTCCTTAGCCCATTAAGCCAGGACCCTGACTAAGGCTCTGTTCCTCCATTGCAGATCCTGTCCCCAAACAAGCGAGACTTTCCTCGTCAGACTTGCAGCAAGTGGAGCTGGCTTCAAACAAAACTGCTCAGAAAGAAAAGCAAAGGAAAAGTGGTGACACGACTTCTCAACCACCAAGTGTGAGGTAAACAGCAGCCAGCAGTGACCAGCCCGCTAAGACCTGAGCCAGGCCCATAAAAAGGAAAATGAGTCTTCTCAAAGAGCGGAAACCAAAAAAGCCGCATTATATCCCAAGGCCTCCGGGAAAACCCTTCAAGTATAAGTGTTTCCAATGTCCCTTTACTTGCAATGAAAAGTCACATCTCTTTAATCACATGAAGTACGGTCTCTGTAAAAACTCCATTACTTTAGTATCAGAGCAAGATCGCGTTCCCAAGTGCCCCAAATCCAGCTCTTTAGACTCTAAGCAAACCAGTCAGCCAGACTCCACAGCGAAGCCCGCCTCCTCCAAGTCCATCACAAACAGGCTCTCACACTTGGACACCAAGCTTCAACACGCCCTTGCCAAGGACGATGTCAAGGAAAATCTGGACCTGCACGCGTGTGGGCCCCACAAGTGCCCAGGACAGAAGCCTGCTCTCCTCAAGGAAGCAGCGCCCCTGAGTCCAGCTCCAGAAGCCACCATGGGCACCCAACCCGCCCTGGAAGGCGTTGTTCGGCCTTCGGCATTTGTTCCAGTTGGAGAGCAGAGACTGAAAGGCCCAGAGCATGTTGAGGCTCCTGCAGTGCTGCCACTGCCCACGCCCAGCGCCAAGGCCACCTCCTTCCACACTAAGTCTGCATTCCACGCTCCTGGCTACCCATGGAAAGCTGGCTCACCTTTCCTCCCGCCTGAGTTTCCACATAAAATCCCCCCTACAAAGGGGTTTGGTGCCATTTCCCCTTACGTGCACCCCACAATCCCGGAGTACCCGCCTCACTTTTACACAGAGCACGGACTGGCCACCATCTACTCACCCTACCTGCTGGCCGGGAACTCGCCTGAGTGCGACGCCGCCCTGCTCGCAGTCTATGGGGCCCAAGACCAACGGCGTTTCCTGCCTCACCCCGGGCCAATCCCTAAGCATTTGAGCCCAACTCCATCGACATATGATCATTACAGATTTTTCCAGCAGCATCACTCCAGTCTGCCGATTCCTTATGGATTTTACAGACCAGAGTCTGCGTTCTCCTCCTATGGTCTCAGACTCCCACCCATCACTGGTATTTCACAAGACCAAAGCTCTCACCTATTGGAAGAAGCTGCTCTGGTCTACCCGGCGTCGAGTCCATCCAAGTTAAACCCTTCCAACTCCCACAAAACACACACAGAGTTTGAGAAAGAGAGTCCAACTCCTGAGGCTAAAGACCCTTCCAAAGATGGGCGGAGGGACACAGAAGGGACCAAAATGAGCCCGCGTGCAGGGAGCGCAGCCACAGGCTCCCCAGGAAGGCCGAGTCCCACCAACTTCACGCAGACAAGCCAGCCATGTACTGGGCTGTGTGGCCTCTCGGACCAGCTGGCCTCAAGCGCCCTGGGCAGGCTCCATCAACCTGAACAGAGCCTCACAGCCTTCAGGCCCATCAAAAAAAACACAGAGCACCCACATTCCCAGGCTGCAGAAGACAGAGACGAGTCTCCAGAAAGGTAAGAAAGTTTCATTTTCAAAACCTCCAAGTAATGTCTCTGGTTGTGCTCAACTAGCCGAGCTTATACTTGCTCACAATGCCTCACATGGTAGCTCTTCTAAGCAAGGTTCCTATTAAGCTTCTCTTTGCCTCTTCCAGGCTCGATGCTGTGAACACCGACCCTCCAGCTCAGACAGGAAGCGCCTCTCACGGCAGGGAGGCCGCGCCTTCCAGCCCAGAGGACAGCTCCAGGATCACCCCGCTAAACCTCTCCAAGAAACCAGAGACGCGACTGTCAGCCGCTCACGACCCTGTGTACAGAGACTTCCCAGATCTGCAAGATGTGCCTCTGAACCTCTCAGTGAAGGACCCCTGCAATGCCCTGACCCCGAGGCCTTCCTTTCACAGTCCACCACGAGACACAGAAGCTGCTGCTGCCGCTCAAGAGACTAAGACAGAAAGTTCTGGAGATGGGCCAGACCACACTGAGACAAACCAAAATGGCCTCAACTCTGATGAGGCTCCATCGATGAGCCCCACAGGGAAGGCCCAGGATGTGCGAGCAGCCGACAGCGGTGACGAGCAGAAGCAGACAGCGGCTGTGGCCCTCTGCCAGCTGGCAGCCTACAGCCCGGAGAAGGTCCAGGTAGGCGATGGGAAGCCTGTGGCCCAGGAGTCTGCCTGCCAACAAGACTCGCCCACCCTCAGTGCCATAGAAAGCCACACGGCTCAGTGTGACCTCCGGCCCAAAGGGCAAAAGAGGACAAGCCCAAGGGACGCAGGGAAGTCCCAGCAAGGCACTAAGAAGATGAAGCCGAGTGACACGGCCCGAGTGTTCACCCTGCGGAAAAGAACACGGGTGTCTTAAGTGCCTGGCTCTCCCAAGAACACGCCTTCTGAGCTGCTCGGGACTCGTGACAGAAGCAAGTCCTCAACGGCAGCTTCACCTTCTCATATGGTCAATTTTTACAATGCAGCTTCTTTTTCCTTCTAAAAATCAAAAGCTGCAATTCAGTTATTATAAATATTAAGCATAAATGTTAAAAGGTGCTTCTACTTTTGGTTGTAAAAATATTTGAATGACATACTCTAAGACTGATGAGTTAAAGACTGGCTTTCGTTTTTGTAAAATGCCAAATGAAATGTGCAGGACTAAAAGGTAACTTTTAGGTGTAAGCCATCTTATAGGAAATCTTTTAAAAATACTTTTCTTATAAATATCTTAGCACTAGAACAAATTGTTTTAACTGTTTTTCTATTAAATCTGTGTGTTTTGAAGTAACAATTACTAAAAAAAATGCCAAGAAAAAACATTTTCAGCACTAGCATTAAAGTGCTGTGTGTAAACACATTGTGATTTGTTATGACTGAACAATACATAAACATCAAGAGGCTATTTATACACATAATTTATTTCCATTAGGGAAAATGTATCACTGGTGAAGCTATTATCAATGTATTTCATTTCCTTATAATGTTACAGTGAATTTTCTGACTCAGCCTCATTTTCCACTTCCTAAAATGATGTATATATTGTTAATTTTCCAATAAACTCATAAGTGAACTTTAAAAATACATAAAATGAGACAAATATAAACTCTGTTATACTTCAGAGTATTTTGCCACAATAAACTCAATGCCAAAGAGAACAGCGTTGAGGCAGCAATTAAAACAAACTGAGAAAGAGTGTGTCTGTGTGTGTGTGCACACGTGAGCATGTGCATGTGTGTAAAGTGTGAGTGTGGGAGTGTACCTATATGTGCTGTGCTGTGAACTAGTGCAGTCACCCTGGGGCGACTCGAGGACATCCCAGGTCTCAGGCCTCAGGGCATTTTTGGAAAGTCAGCCTGCAGGGCCTCCAATCCTAAAACCGCTGCCTGGGAAACAGCTGCCAGGTGTCCCCAGCCCCCTCTCCACGTCCCCTTTCACAGCAGCCCTTCCTCCCACTTTCTGAGGGCATCTCTCACCCAACACGCTGCCCGGAGTGTCACCCAGGGGCCACTGGCCACAGTGATGTGGTGCTGAGGATGGATCACTCTAGAGACCAGGTGAGAAATCCCCCTGCGAGCCAGCTAGTGCTCACCTCGTCACTTTCACTAGAACGGAGGGGGTCCTCACAGAGCCATCCAACAGCGCTCAAAGAACCAAGGCAGCCAGAGCAGCAGGCCTGCTGCTCCCAGCTGTATCTACACGTAACAAGACCTTTCAGCACTTAGAGCTGAAAATAAAATGTCTAAATAAAAATTTTTTAATAAAAAATGGACGTGGAGCCTTGCCTCATTCTAGATACAAGCACTACCCACCAAAAGATAGCCTGAACTAAAAATCCATCTTGTTAACAGCTGCATTTCAGTAAGATATTATTTTCTGCTGTTTTGATCAACTTTGTACTAAGAATTAATTCTTTAAAAACTCAACCTGGAAAAAACGTTAAATACACAGCACCTTATAGCCGTACAAAATGTAACCAAGTTTCCACTCATAGACAGCCTCTTGTTGAAGAGACATGATAGGGAGGTCAATAAAAGATCCTTAAGCACAGAAATACATTACATTAGGAAAAAATTCTCTGGGAAAAGTAAATGGAAATATGGGTTCAAGGAGACGAAGGATAAAATTCCTATAAAGAACTCGTCTAAGCGTTTTTTTTTTTATTTATTTTTTGTGAGGATGATTAGCCCTGAGTTAACATCTGTCACCAATCCTCCTCTTTTTGCTGAGGAAGACCGGCCCTGGGCTAACATCCATGCCCATCTTCCTCCACTTTATATGGGACACCACCACAGCACGGCTTGACAAGCAGTGCATTAGTGTGCGCCCGGGATGCAAACCCCAGGCGGCCGCAGCAGAGCGCACGCACTTAACCACTATGCCACGGGGCCAGCCCCATGCATTTTTAAATGGAGGATGAAGAATTTCAAATGATTATGATACCTGGATTCCACTGGACTCTATATTTAAAAGAGTGACGCACAAGTTTTATTTTAAAATGACATTATTCAGGACAGCAAATAATATGCTTTGCAACACGTTAAATTTATATAAAACCACTGATATCAACTCATAAAAGGGATGCAGAATTTGTCACAATTCCTTTAAGGTGTACAGGAGGCTGCTGTTACCAAGTGCCTCTAAAGCACCAAGGTGGCCATGTGAGGCCCTGGGACCCAATCCAAGGTGTGCCTTCTGACAACCACATGCCATTAACCCAAAAGGTACGCTGTTACAACGCAAAACCGATGAACACGCGTGCAGCCTTCACTAGCACTCCTGGATTCTTCTATCTCTATACACCAATATGTTTTGACAAAGAACAAAAATAGGATACCTCTACCTTCCGCAAGTCAACACCCTGCAGAAAGCAGAACCATACATCAGAGGCCGTGCTCCAGGCTCAGGACCTGAGGTCTCGCACTCTACAGACAAGCTCTCATCTCGTGCTTTACACATGCAAGAACACAGACCTTTCATGTCAAGGGCCCAAAGATTCTGAGAACTGTATGTTTTATAGCTCACCCAAAAGCGTCAGGCATCATCTCAAGGGACAAGAAGAGGAATCAGAGACAGTTAACGACGGCAACAGTGCAGGCTGTGAGCCACCTCGCCACCAAGGAGACGCTCACCTCCAAGCTCACGGGGAAGGCAGAGACCATTGCTGCCTGTGGATTTTCGCTGCGGAACTGTGTGCACCTGCAGCGTGAAGACTGACCCCTTTGCAAACTCCACCCTCCTGATACAATTCCTCCAAAGGTCACAGGCAACACAAAAGCCACAGGAACCAGTAGGCCCTTCGTTTCTTTAAAAGCACAATGGAGTCCTAGATCTGTGTAACAAAAAACCAGTCTTGCTAATTTTTTAACTGTACTACCTTTCTGCATTCACATATGACCCAACTTAAGAGCTTAAGTTTCTAACTTACATACAAAAAGTGATAAACCCTCAAAAAGTTAAATACGGAATTACCATATGACCCAGCAATTCCACTCTTAGGTATACACCTAAAAGAAATGAAAATGAGGACTCAGATACGTGTACACCACTGTTCATAGCAGCATTATGCACAATAGTCAAAAGATGTAAATAACCCAAGTACCCACTGACAGATGACAGATAAAAAAATGTGGACTCTCCATACAAAAAAAAATTATTCAGCCATAAAAAGGAATGAAGTTCTGACACATGCTACACGAATTAATCTTGAAGATATCATGCTAAGTGAAATAAGTCAGACACAAAAGGACAAATCTTGTACAACTCCCCTTACATGAGGTCCCAAGAGCCAGCAAATTCATAGAGGCAGATAGATTAGTGGTTACCAGGGACTAGGTGAAGGGAATGGGAGGTTAGTATTTAATCAGAACAGAGTTTCTGTTTGGGATGATGAAGTTTTGAAAATAGATAATGATAATGGTTGTACAACATTGTAAATGTAGTTACTACCACTGGATTGTAGACAAAAATAGGCAATATGGAAAATTTTTGTTACATATATTCTACAATGTTTTTTAAAAACAACATAATGTATCAAAACCATTGAATTATATACTTTAAACAAGTGAATTAAATGTTAGGTGAACTATATATCTCAATAAAGCTGAAAAAAAATTTTTAAAAGGATCCTTGAATTCACATTGAAGGAAAAAAATGCTGACAATAACCTTTCTAAACAGTCTTACCAGGGGCCCATGGTGATCCACCCCCATCACCAGTTTTTTTTTTTTTTCGTGAGGAAGACCAGCCCTGAGCTAACATCCGATGCCAATCCTCCTCTTTTTTGCTAAGGAAGACTGGCCCTGGGTTAACATCCGTGCCCATCTTCCTCTACTTTATATGGGACGCCGCCACAGCATGGCTTAACAGGAGGTGTGTCGGTGCACGCCCGGGATCCAAACCGGTGAACCCTGGGCCGCCACAGCGGAGAGCACACACTTAACCACTTGCGCCACCGAGCCAGCCCCCTATCACCAGTTTTAACCTTTGACCAAAATGCCACACTTGTTAGGGAGGGAGGGCAGGGGTGGGGTGTTAAATGAAGCCTGAACACACACTTGCTTAAGGAGAAAAACGTTTTAATACAGAAAGACAGAACAAGCACTCCATGTACTAAGTCAAAGGTGTCTTGCTAGGTCCTCACTTTTCTTACAGACTGGAATGTCCAACAGCTCAAAACTGCACAAAGGTTGAAAATCAGGGAAGCATAGGTAATCAGGAGAAGGGAAAGTGCCCAGACTGCGCCTGGAGCTCAGAGAGTAGGACCCCTCCCAAGGAACTGAGGCACACGGGCCTGTGGGCAGAGACAAGGTCAGAAAAGGTCAGTGCTCTGCAAACTGCCAGGCTCCACCCACAGGAGCAGGCTGACCCCAGCACCCCGCAGCGGCTCCACCAGCGGGGAGCACAGCAGCCACACCAGTGCAACCTCTTCCAGGGTGATGGGAATGCCTCTGTGGCTGACTTTGGCTCAAGGACCTCCCCACGCCTTGCCAAACCTCTTCCTTAGACCACTCGGCCCTCAAGGATCCCACCACCACCCACCCCCGCCCCACAGTACTAGCGGTCAGACAGTGGCTCTGCCAGTCTTCTCGGATGCCCCCCCCATTTGTCTCTCACAGGCATTTCCCTAATAAAATCCCCGCACATTCAATCCTGTCTTGGCACTTGCTTCTTCTCCGAAGACCCAGACTAGTGCTAACACGCTGTTCAAATGCTAGCTTTTGGATGATGTCACAGAACATGGCAAAGTAGGGAGCTCCACAAATCAGACCCTCCACCAAAATAACCACTAAGCTGGCAAAAACTGACAGAATGAACTTTTTCAGAACTCTAGAATCTAATCAAAAACTTATAACAACCAAAGAAACGCTTAGTGAAGAAAGACGCTACTAAATTTCAGCATTTAAGGAAACCTCTGTTAGGTCACTGGCTAACTGATGACATAACGCAACAGAGACCTCAGTGACCAAACACAACAAGGAATACAGTCTTTGGAAAAAGT